AGTTAGGTCCTCCCATCCCTCCCTTGGCTGGTCTGTTTTCTTTCTTTCTTTCTGTGTTAGTGCTAGCACGCGCCAGTCCGCACCTGTGTCGAGCCTGTCTGCTGTGTGTGAGAGAGAGTTGTTCTTGTAAAATTCTTGGGTGGGGGAGCCTGGTTGGTGGGTGGGGGAGCCAGCCTGATGGGGGAGCCTGGTGGGGGAGCCTGGTGGGGGAGCCTGGTGGTCCTGCCAAACCACTGTGGTCATGACCACACGACGCCTCCGACCCTGTGCCTGTCCTGCTGTCCACGGTGCACGGACCACGCGCCAGCACTGACTGAGTCGACGTACCCGCGCCCAGCAAGCAGATTGCGCCAAAGCCCACCCGACTCTGCAGCACGGAGGGCATGGACGGAGTACGGAGACCCCTCGCGCCGTCGGGCCCGGCGGCGGCATCCACCTACATCATGGCAAGCGTGTGAACAGACGCCCTCACAGCCTTGGCGAGAACAGTTCGTGGAAAATGACCTGCGAGACCTCGGTGTGAAGTGAATAACAAGGCTGTGAAGCTCCCACAGTGCCGCAGCGTGCTTGCTTGTTCATAGCGCAGCACACGCCCCAGCTGCACACTCTGCTGCTGTTCAGCGATGTTCTGTGCAATCTCCAACACGACGCCCGAAGTGCCGGTCGTGAGCAGCAAGAGCGGCCACCTCTTCGAGAAGTCGCTCATCGAGAAGGCGCTTGAGTCGTCCGGAGGACGGTGCCCGGTGACCGGTGAGCTGCTCGCGGCCTCGGACCTGCTGCCACTCAAGGTGCCCGCGCAGCTGTTCCGCACGGCCCCGTCGCCCCGCTGCCTTCCCCCGCCTACCGCCTCTCTGCAGTCCTTGCCAACGGCATTGCACTGCCGTCGTACCACCTCAACGCGCCCGCCCCACCGCCGCTGCCGCCCGCCGACCCCGCCGCCGCCGCCGCCGCCGCCGCCGCCGCCGCCGCCGACCGCACCCCCGCCTCCCAGGTGGGCGCCTCGGTCAAGCCGCGGCCGGCGGCGGCCACCTCCATCCCCGGGATGCTCTCGCTCTTCCAGAATGAGTGGGACGCACTCATGCTCGAGCTCTACTCGACAAAGCAGGCACCGCACCCCCCCCCACACACACACGCACACACCTCGCCCCGCCTTGTCCCGCCACCCTGCCCCCCTCGCCGTCCCCCCCCCCAGTCGC